ACTGCTGCTTTATATGTATAGATCTAATGTTCACCCCGCAGGGACATATCAAGTTACCGCCAGTTGCGTTATCCACTTAAGTCTCTACAAAGTCTCTACAAAGTCACGGAAAAACATCCCATCAACAGCCCAGCCTTGGCGCCCTCTTGGCATTTCCTTGGCGTTTTCTTGGCGTTCTCTGGTGGAGCGGGGTCATGTGATTTAACTGCACATTAGTAATCCAGAAACGAACAACTTTCTCTATGGCAAAAACCTCCAACGTCGGATTTAACCAGAAAAAAACCAAACCTCCCATCTTCATAGGCCCACAGATCCACTCGCACGTTCAAAGTGGCCTAATAGTTAGTTAGTATTATGCCCCGGAGTGACGTGACGGAGAACAGTTCCATTCCTCGCAGATATATATATATATATATATATCAATCAAACCGTGCTGATCTTCTGTTGTTCCGCTTGACTTGGTCGAAGATGGAGAGGCGTGTGAAGCGCTGCAGTTCTTCTCTTCTCTTCTTATCTTCTTCTCCTTGTGATGCTGTGCTTCAGAGGCCGTCATGGAGACGCAGCTTGCTGGTCCAGCCACGTAAAAGCTGAGATGGACACTCCACCCAACGCCGTCTGCCCGTCTTGTCGGCGTGCGGACGCCCACCAAGCTGAAACGGTCGAGCAAAAGCCGTGAGACGCGAGGTGGTTTCTCGATATGGCCTGTTATTAAAGAGCCTTGGAGCTCTAGATCTTCTAGTTCATGGCTTGCTTCCCCCCTCCCCCCCCCCCCCCCCGGCTTATTACTTCACTTATTTATCATATATTATTTCCTACTTATTTATTATTATTTTATTCTTCTGGCCCGCCCGATGCTTCAAACGGGGGAACCTCACATCGCCCATTCTGTCTCGAGGCGTGAGAGATGAAAATCCAACCAGGCATCACCCAGCCGCCCACCCAGCCCTCCCAAGTTCCCGAGAGCACAAGGGCCTCAACCCCCCTCTCGCCGTGGGCTGACAGTCGCGGCGGAACCAGGCCCTCGCCGGCCTTGGCCACGCGTGCGACAGAGTGCGCTAGATAAAGGGGAGAGGAGACAATGGGACGGGGGCAGTAAATACGCGGGGTTGCACTGGGACGGAGGAAAAAACAGAAAAAGAGAAGGAAAAAGAAAAAATAAAAAATAAAAAATAAAAAAAAGGTAAAAAAAAAAAAAAAGGAAAAAAAGAAAGAAAAGAAAAGAAAAGAAAAAAAAAAAAAAAAAGAAAAGAAAAAAGAAAAGAAAAAAGGCCAGAGGGTTTGTTTTTCCAGAGCCCACTTGTAAAATTGGCCCCGTAGTTACATAGACAACTTAAAAAGTATCCCGGGTATGCCGGGAGTCCCGGTAACCCGGTTTACCCATCGATGTTCATTTCCACTTTTGGTTCGGGGCGGCTGAGCCACGCATTTGGGGACGGGCATGCATGGATGACGACAATCAAAAGATCCCGTGTTCCACCACACGGGCTCTTGTATGCAATGTGTATGCTGTGCGACACTTGTTAGTCGGTCCCCTGCGTTGCCAGTTACCAAACGCCGCCCTGCCCTTCCATCTCCCGGCCGCATCCTGACTGATAGGTTTTCTTTTTCTTTCCCTTTTTTTATCTTTTTTATTTATTTTATTTTTTTATTTTTTTATTTTTTAATTTTTAATTTTTAATTTTTTTTCCCCCCCCCCCAAGGTATAGAGTAAATAAAATAACAAATACTGATAATAATTAACCTCTCCTCCGGCTTCTCGGTATACACCTACGTCACTACAAATTCGGGGCGCCGCAACTCATTCTTCTGAGAAACACGCAGAAACTTCATCAAGCTTCAGGTAAAACAGTGTCACAATATCATTTTTAACCTAATGTAAACCTAAACTGAATATAAAAACATCGGACCTCAACCTTAATCTTATAACGGATTTTTTTTAATAAGAGGGGAAAGTCTCACTGAGATTACATAACAAAAATGTTTCAAAAACATCTAGTTAAAACGAAGTTAACTAGTTGCTTTTTACTCTTTCAGGGCAGAAAACAAGTACCCCCTAAATCTCTAAATGATTCAAGTGGGAAGAGAAACAGAGAATGGAGAATCGAAACCAAAGCAAGAGGCAAAAGCAAAATGTGATAAGCAACAAAACCAAGACCTCAGGCTGTAGTAATAATACGAACAGAGTCAAAAAAAAAAATATGCCTGGTGAATATACACATAAAAGTAAAAACTGCAAAAAATAACTGCAAAAAGACATAATAAAAACATGACATAAGAATAACTAGCATGGACACATAAAAGAAGCACACAAAAGACAAACATGAAATAATGAACTTGATATAAACATCAATGATCACTCCCCCTTCATCTCACCATTTCTCCTCTCCCCCTTAGCATCTCCTCGCCCTCCACCACCTCTCGGACTAGCTCTAGTCCCTTTCTCCCTCTCTCCTTCCCTCCCCTCCCCCTCCTCTCCCTCATCATCATAGTCCTCATCCACATCCATCTTCCTCGCCGGCGGCTCATGCAAAACAGATCCCGAACCTTGTCCCAATACCTGATCCCGACCATCTTTACCCCTCTCCCGCTCCCGATCCCGATCCTCCTTGACCCCACTGGAGCCAGGACCCGATCCGGCCGACGACGGGCCTGCAGGACCTGGCCCCGACCCCGTCGCCACAGTCTGTAATGAGGGCAACGGGCCAGATTGATGAGCCCCGCCCTCAGCTATGGGTGCCATTGCGGGGCCAGGTTGTGGCCCTTGCTGTTGCGGTTGTCCCTGCCCCTGACCTGTCTGCGACGGCGGCCCCGACTGTCCCTGTACCTGCATATGCTGAAAAGAAGGAAGAGTAGACGGATGATGCGCGACCTCAGACGGATGATATCCCTCAAGACCACCATGTCCATGTCCATGTCCACCAGCACGACGCTGTTCATCTCTCCCCTGCTGTCCCTCGCCCGAATCCCTTCTTCTCAAATCTCTCGGCGATGGCAATTGCTCCCGATCTCTATCTCTCTCCCTACCAACCCCAACCTGTTGTCCAGGGGGTGACAACCTCCTCCCCATTGCCAAAGCAGACTGGCCCCCCTCATCAAGCCTTGCCCGACTCTCCTCATTCGCAATTT